TCGAGTCCGACCAGCCGCCCAGCATCAGATAGAGCTGGGTGTCATCAGCATATTGGTGACACCCCAGCCCATAACTCCGGATAACCTGGGCAAGGGGGCGCATATAAATGTTAAAGAGCATCGGGGACAACACTGCCCCCTGTGGTACCCCACACTCAATGAGATACCTGCGGGAGCGCTGGTCCCCGAAGGCCACCCTTTGTCCCCGACCTTGCAGGAAAGAGGCAAACCATTGAAGGGCAAGCCCCTGAATCCCCACGTCGGCAAGGCGATGGGTCAGCAACTGGTGGTCGACAGTGTCAAATGCTGCCAACAGATCTAACAACACCAGTTCCGCCACACCGCCTCGATCCAGATGTCTCCGGAGATCGTCAGTCAGGGCAACCAAGGCTGTCTCGGTCCCGTGGGCCAGGCGGAAGCCGGACTGGAAGGGATCTAAGACTGAAGCATCCTCCAGAAAGCCCTGTAACTGTAGCGCCACCACCCTCTCTATCAGTTTGCCCAAATAGGGCAAATTAGACACCGGCCGATAGTTGGCCAATTCGGCCGGGTCCAGAGATGGTTTTTTTAAGAGAGGGCAGACCATTGCGTCCTTGAGCGCTGTCGGGAAGTGCCCCTCTGAGAGGGACGTGTTGACAATATCTCGCACAGCGCCTCGCAACCCCCCAGGACTCGCTTTAATGAGCCAGGAGGGACACGGATCAAGGTCACACGTGGTTGGACGTACAGAAACGAGCAATCTGTCCACTTCGTCCAGAATGAGTAGATTGAAACATTCTAAACCCGGCCCCGAAGACGTGCAAGGGGCCTCAAGTTCACTCACTGTCTCAATTGTGGCAGAGAGGTCACGGCGAAGCCCCAAGATTTTATCTGCGAAGAAGCTCGCAAAAGCCTCACAGCCAAGTTCCAATTCCTTAACTTTTTGCTCGCCCTGAGGCAAGGTTGTCAAATTCCGAATTACTCTAAATAATTGGGCCGGGCGCGAGCTCGCAATCTCAGCCGCATAGAAATCCTTCTTAGCGGCCTTGACTGCCATCTCATAGGATCTCATAGATGTCCTATAAGATGTTCTCGAAGCCTTGTCGCGAGCGTGGCGCCACCATCTCTCTAATCGTCTAAGTTCTCGTTTCAGCGCCCGCAACCCCTGGTTATACCAGGGGGCGTGCCTACCGCGAGTACAGAGAAGTCGCCTGGGAGCGATCTCGTCGATGGCTGCAGAGAGTCGGACATTCCAGTCCTCCACCAGCTTATCCAACAAGCCGCCAGGGGGCCTTGGATCCCGCAGAGCTCTCTGGAACCGCTCCGGTTCCATCAGGCTTTGCGGGCGAGCAAAAATACGCTCACCGCCCAAACAGGGTTGAGGTGGAATGCTCAGACGGGCCTTCAGGGCCAGGTGGTCCGACCATAGCACTGCCTGAGCAGTGATTCGGTCCACCTCCGGAAGGTTGGATCACTGCTATTGTCTGTAGCTGGGCACAGTCTTTTGTTTTAGTCTGTTTTAGGAGGAAGAGGAATGAGTTACTTTCCAGGTAAAGTTAACACATGGTGGGGGGAATGCTGCGTGATGAAGAAGAGATTCCCTTGTGGCTTCTGTTCAGGAACATCTGTCCTTTATCAGAGCATGGCTTCTTCTCTGATCTGCTGCTGCCTCTGCATTCCGGTGCTTGGGGCAGAAGCAGAAGTTTGGGGACAGAAGGCTTCTGTAGTCCCAGGTCCACATCTGGCTTGGCATACTACTTAGGCTCAAGGCTCCCCTTGGCCACAGTGTACATTCCATAGTCCAGCATACAGCACTTCACTTAGGACCACACAGGTCTGTCCATTGCCCTGGCACACACTCTTCACAGTCCAACAAGGCAATCATATCAAAGAGTCTTTAATAGTGCCATCTGAAGTGGCTGCATGGCAACAGGGGGGACAGGTGCTGCTGGGAGGCAGGCGGGCTGGCTAGGAAGTAAAAGACTCCCACCCTCATAAGTCTCAAGAGTACCTTACTTGTATATGAATGTATCTTAATTGTAATACAATGCAAAAGGTGTATTCAGTTATGCGAAAGCTTATTACAGTATTGGTGGGAGATGGTCATGGCTCAGTTGTAGGGCATCTGTTTGACATGCAGAAGGTCCCAGATTCAGTCCTGGCATCTCCAGCTGTAAGGATTAGGAAGGCAGGACACTTGCCCCTGGAGAGCCACTACCCATAGACTATACCATCTGCCAGAGGAGATAGTACTGAACTTGATATATCAGTGGTCTGACTTAGTGTATGATAGTTTCATGCATTCATGTGTGATATAAATTATCTGTAGACTGCTTCCACTCTACTGGTTAAATTGCTGGTCTAAACCCCCGGGCTATGAGAAAATTATTTCCCTTGCAAAGATTCCATACTGTACCCCAATACATATGACATATCAAGCCAGAATCAGCATGCTGGTCATGTACTCCACTATGTGCAGTTGCCAGAATGTGGGCAAGGCACGTAAGCAGGTAGGTACTCTATCCACATTCTGATGACCACAAGTAAATAAGGGTCAGGACCAGAATGCTTGTTATCATTAGGCATGCTGCGACCCTCCATAGGACCATGTTATGAACTCCCTTGATTAAACACCAGGCGAGCTCCTGAGCAGAGCACCTCCATATTCTCTGGCAAAGTTCTTTCTATGATTTATATGAAAAATAAAACAGGAGTCCAGTGGCACCCTAGAGACTAAGAGCTGTATTGGGATGAATTTGCTACTTTATATTTTGGTCAATGCCAATAATAACCTAAATTAAATCACTGTGCTGGTTATCAATTATCATGCCTCATCAAAGGCTCCTAAGTAAGCTCAAAAATCATGGGATAGAAGGACAAGTCCTTTTATGGATCAAAAACTGGCTAGTTCATAGAAAACAGAGAGTGAGTGTAGGTGGGCAATTTTCTCAGTGGAGGGTGATAAGCAGTGGGGTACCGCAGGGATCAGTACTTGGTCCACTGCTTTTTAACTTGTTCATTAATGATTTGGAGATGGGAGTAAGCAGTGAAGTGGCTAAATTTGCGGATGATACAAAGTTGTTCAGGGTGGTGAAAACCAGTGAGGATTGTGAGGCACTCCAAGGGGATCTGTCAAGGATGGGCGAGTGGGCGTCAACATGGCAAATGGGGTTCAATGTGGCCAAGTGCAAGGTGATGCACATTGGAGCCAAAAATCCTAAATATAAATACACATTGATGGGGTCTGAACTGGCAGAGACTGAGCAAGAGAGAGATCTTGGAGTTGTAGTGGATAACTCACTGAAAATGTCGAGACAGTGTGTGACTGCAATAAAGAAGGCCAATGCTATGCTGGGGATTATTAGGAAGGGTATTGAAAACAGATCAGCCAATATAATAATGCCCCTATATAAATCAATGGTGAGACCTCATTTGGAATACTGTGTGCAGTTCTGGGCACCACACCTTAAAAAGGATATTATAGCTTTGGAAAAAGTGCAGAAAAGGGCAACTCGAATGATAAAAGGGTTGGAACACTTTCCCTATGAGGAAAGGTTAAAGCGCTTAGCGTTCTTTAGCTTGGAGAAAACACGACTGAGGGGTGACATGATCGAGGTTTATAAGATTATGCATGGGAAAGAGCAGGTAAAGAAAGAGGTACTTTTCTCCCTTTCTCACAATACAAGAACTCGTGGGCACTCCATGAAACTGCAGAGCGGTCGGGTTAGAACGGATAAAAGGAAGTACTTCTTCACCCAAAGAGTGATTAACACATGGAATTCACTGCCACAGGAAGTGGTGGGTGCTACAAGCATGGACGGCTTCAAAAGGGAATTAGATAAGCATATGGAGCAGAAGTCCATCAGTGGCTATTAGCCACAAGGTATAGCTAGGGGCTCTGGGGCAAGTGATGCTCTGTCTTCTTGGTGCTTGGGAGGGGGGTCAACAGTGGGAGGGCTTCTAATGTCCTGGCCCCACTGCTGGACCTCCTGATGGCACTGGTATTTCTGGCCACTGTGTGACACAGAGTGTTGGACTGGATGGGCCTTTGGCCTGATCCAACATTGGCGTCTCTTATGTTCTTATGTTCTTATGTTCTTATGCTGAGAAACAGATAGTGTATTCTTTTGGCTTTACGATGGACCTCTTTCTCTATAAATTTAATAGGATTTACCTAAGTACATTAGTGCACTTCTAACCCTGGAGTTATTTAAAAGTTTATTCAAGCAAACCTTTGTCATTGAAATAAATGGGACTCCTTTTAAGTATGATGAGTTTCCCACATGGAAACAACTGAAGGTTCTGGGACAAAAGCCATGCACTTTCCATAGTCACTAAGGCTTCCAGAGGAAAAAAGTAATTGTCAGGATGAATTAAATTCTCTCTTCACTTACTAATCAGATTTCAGCTGCTTGGTGAAGCTTCCACCTATGCCTAAAGAAAGAAATGTAGTCCAATGCAGATTGAGATCATAAACCCATTACACAATTCTTTTGATCTGTTCCATATTTTCAGATAGGAACTGACATCTTACACCGGCTTGACAAAACATGGTGCAATTGGTATCATCAATAAATATTATTTATTTATATAGTGCCCTTTGCAAGGTACAAGATGAAAGGTCCCTGTCATGAGGATCTTACAATCCAAAATTTGCCATAAGGGAGACAACAAAGAGAGGGGAGGGCAAGAAAGAGCAGACAGGGGATAAACAGGGGAAGAATATGTGTTCATTTCATCCCGTGTATTAAATTTATTACTGATTTGCAAATTTGCTTAACTTGGCCCACAAAAACTCAGAAAGTTAGCTCACAGACTAGGCCACCTAATTTCTGATGCAAATAACTAGCAAGGCCATCATAAGGAAACTTACACTCCTCTAAGCTTATTGACCTCAATGCACTTAGAAGAGCGTAACTCTGCACAGGATAGCACTGTAAATGGAGCTTCACACAGTATTTTCCAGCTGTAACAAATATGTTCTTTAATATATGGATTGGTACTCCAAGCAACATACATACAGCAGAATGGAAACCTTGAAGATTAGGAGTCAGTACTGGATATCGGACTCCAGGATAATATTCTATTCCTCTCATTACTTCTGTGTGATCTGCCATCTTAAAGAGAGAGAAAAAAGCTGGTTTAGATTCTTAATGCCATAGATCTGCATCAGACATTTACCTGATGGTTATTCACTAGCTACAAATATTTACAAATAGCTTTTATATTTTATTTCATTTTAGACACAAGAGAAAAACAGTTCTATTTTCATTTTGGGGGGGAGTACAGGTGGAAATGGTTATTATGTAAAAACTGTCCACACTGCAATGTACTTTGCTGCATGTTTCCTACAAAACAAAGGATCTGATCCTACAGCTCTCTGAGCACTTGTACAAGTGTACCTGTTTACTATGACAGTGATGGCATTTTTAAGTAAACTAAAAATCTGGAGATAATATCCCTATGCTGTCCTTTCACATTTGAAAATCATTATATTAAAACTTGGAAGAGGAAACATGATACAACTGTTTCTCTATCCTTACTTTACTACTTAACTTCCCCCACAAAAAAGTGGATAGATACAACAGTGCAAAGATATCCTCTTTCACTAAAGAGCATTAGCTTAGTCCATCATTAGAGACTTTGCAAGTCACATTTCTCTCATATAGAATTCTGCTCTTTAAAAAAAAAAAAGTAAGGGGCACATTTATATAACTCATGACAAGTCAAAACAGGTTTAATTTTTTTCCCATTGATTAAAGAAGAGGATTTATATTATGAGCTGTGTCCCACAACGCAAGTACCTACGGATGAAAAGACATGGACTCTTACTGTGTCATTTCCACTTTAAAACTCCCACTGTAGCATTTGCAAACATGGGAGGGAATAGAAATCATTTGGCCACATCTGTATTGTCCAGGGATAAGAAGAGAGAGAACATGCGTAGTCACACGTAGCTCACAATGGGGCATTTGACACAGAGGCACAAAAATGAGAGCCTTGCTGTAGAAGCAGCAGCAAGTGGGGCAGCGGTGGGCAAGGCTGCCTTCCGCATGGCCCTGTTCCCATGCTGCTCACTGCAGTTGCTACCCTCACCACTCCGGCCCCTCCCCCTTACGATCTGTCATAATGACCACTGTATGCCCCTCATGAGCAACCCCTCCTTTCCCCCTTCACAGCTGAGATGCAGTGAAGGGGTTACTGCACCTCAGCTGACAAACATTCTTCCCCAAAAGCCCCTTAAAAGGCTGAAAGTGAGGTAGAAACATGGAGCATCGCTCTGCCACTTTCAAGGAAGCTTAGTACTACCACTTCCTAGACTGCCTACAGACAGAGCTTCCACACAGAGGCTCTACCCACTATATCACTACAGATTATTTGAGCTCTCAAAAGCTCATACTCCCCAAATTCTTCTTTGTCTCTAAGGTGCTACTGGAGTCAAATCTAGCTCTTCTACTACAGAGCAACACAGCTGCCCTCTGAAACTTCTACTGTTTCACCTTAAAGTTGGAGTAAAGGAGGTTTTCCTTTGTTCCGTCTTAAAGTGGAAAGCTCATGGAGCCCATGATTCATGCTCAGACTAGGCATGATGTCATGTGGAGGGTCACTAAAACAGCAGCAGTGTCCCACTGGCCACATTAGGCAGAATCCCTGTGTGGAATGCAGCAGTGCGGCTGGAGCTGGCACAACTAGCTTCTCACAGAGTTAGAAGTCACTAAGGAGGTTGATCTAGCATGGTGGTCCTATGCTGACTAGTTGTTTTTACTGTCTATCATTCAGAATATTTTTCAGCACAGTTCTATAAAACACATTCACAAAGATGGAGATACCCATAACAGAAGATCTAGCAGTTTTGCAAATTACCCATATATTGCAGTTTTCACAGCAGCAGAGCAAGTCAATGTCTCCTGCCAAAATGTTGTCCATGCACTTATGTCAGTGTCAAGCATTGGTTTCATTTCACTAAGTTTCACTTCACTGCTTGCCATAGATATGGAGGGAGGGAATTCCTGAGGGGAGTGCATGGGTGTTTAGAGTGGATGCTTGTAGAAGCCATAACTTTTCCTCAAAGCTGTGCCCCAAAGCTGGTTCCCAAGGGAGCTGGCCTTGGAGTCTTCTCTGCCAGGCTAGGATGTAGATAAGGTGCCATATATCTGTCAAGGTTGCCATAGTAACTGTGGGGGCTGAATGGTGACGTATGCGAGAGGTGTGGGGTGTATTTTGTTTTACCTTAATAGAGGTTTTTGCGCACCATTTTTTAGTTCTGACACAGAATCTGTTTCCTGAAGTAGCATATCTCAATAAAACATCATTACCAAATTGTGTTGTGGAGAGTGTCTTAACTGGGAGACCTAACAATCAGTCACATAGGGGCATGCCTCTACAGACTAATATTCCAAGGAATCCCACAAATTGTCTTAAGCTGCAACCACCTTGTAGCAGACAGCTAATGAAATATTCCACATTTCCATGAGCCAACATGGACCAGAAATGCCCTATTCCATTACTGCAATTTATGATCAGAATCCCTTTTCTGCTGGACCCCAAATAATAACAAGAAATAAAGTGACAGTGGACCTCACCAGTCTGGACACAAGCACCAGAGTATAAAATACACACAAATACTCCAAGGTTGGCAAGCATGCATACAATGTAGTGCCCTCTGAAACACTCAGAAAGCAGTGAAGGGATCAAGGTCCAGGTAGACATGTTTTGTAATTAGTTATCTGTACATGTTTCTAACCACGTTATGTTTTGTACTTGAATACAATTACTAAATGCATAGCAGGGATTGGCCAAGCATCTCAGCAGGCTTTATCAAAATGATGCCTGGCCTGAGGGCATATATACCCTTAGTTAAAGGTGCATATCTGACGCTAGGATGACCACCCTCTTTCCAGGGGTATTAACAGCATTGTCACAGCATTCTCCTCTGATATGGCCAAGGACCAGATCTTCTTAGATGATTCTTTCTGCAGTCTGAGATACTACACAGACCTACAAGTAGAGACCAGTGCTCCACTGAATCATATCCCTGGCCAGGAGGGCTAAAGCATTTCCTTCCAAGAAGAAAGTGGTTAAGCTACCCAGCTCCTCAAAAAGCTTCACTGGCTATATTCACCTATACAGATGAACAAATTTATTCCAGTGGTACACGGTGTATATTTTTCATTGAGCTACCTTAAGAACCTAGTGCTCATGGCATTTTTTTAGATTCTGTGTGTGTGCGTCTAAAGTGCTGTCAAGTTGCAGCTGACGTACGGTGACCCCATAGGGTTTTCAAGGCAAGGGATGTTCAGAGGTGGTTTACTATTGCCTGCCTCTGCATAGTGACCCTGGAATTCCTTGGTGGTCTCCCATCCAAATGCTTCTGAAATCTGACAAGATTGGGCTAGCCAAGGCCATCCGGGTCAGGGCTTTGAGATTAGAATCTGTGCCTATTTTGATCGTCTTAAGGGTTACCAGTCCTCCTACTAATTAATGCCATTGCCCACCAGTGTTCCAAGAGGCAGTGGGAGAAAATTGTCTTTAAAAACTGCCAGTGTTGATATGTCTTACCATTGAGTTTTCAGTGATTCCCAGAGCTAGAGTGGTACAACCCAGAAGGGACATAGTGATGTTGGTGATGTCACACTTCTCCCCCACATTCCCACCCGGCAACCCCTCCCGCTGGTTGCCAGGCTCAGCCTGCCCACCCTACTTGTCATATCTAATCTTTATTCCTTCAAGGAGCCCATCACTGAAAATATGACTGCAGTTTGATATTAATTACCCCACAGTGGGGTCTATCCCACAGCCCAATGGCAAAAAACCTGAGTATGGATTCTACTCTCTTTTCATTCCTACCCTGTATACATTAAATACATTTGCATTGTATAAACCACTTATTACATTTAAGGCTAGAATGTGAACAATTATGTTTTTGTTTGTATGTGTGAGATTTACTTTTATATCAAAGAAAATAATACACATTGGTGTGCAGAACAACCATATGTTGTACAGAACCACTTCAAGGAGGTTTTTTTGGACAGGCAGCATATAAATACCCTAAAAAACAATAACATAATTGTATCCCAATATTCAATAAAATACCCAATTCTTTACACTTCTACTTAATTGGTTTCCCCCTCCTTCTCTTTTATAAGAAGATGATTATACCACATTCCAGATCCTTTTCACCAGTCTATTACAGATAGCAGTTTATTCAATTTATACTGACTAATACATTTTGAATGCTTTGTGAATGTCATTCATACTGAACGTGTATTAAACGCCTGAGGATGGGAGTGCTGATTGAATGCTGAAAAGTAGCATTAAAAACATCATCAACAATACAGTCAAATAACGGTGCCCCACCTACTGGGTCCCCAGCTCCAGAAACTTTAATTCCTATATTGAACAACAAACATCATCCAAACCTCCCAGACCAAGGGAAACCTATGAAGCCAAATATCTACTGTAATGGTAAACCAGAGTGACAAAAAACTATCGTTTTAACAGTGACAGAGGAACTAAAAATATAGTTAAAAGGCTAAACTGGAAGTACAGTTCAAGCTCTATGAAACTCAATCACTGCAAATCATGTTTATGTGATGTATTTGTCCTCTTGGGGTTTTTTTTGTAAGCAGAGCCTTACTTTATCATGTACTTTTAACATTTATGCAATTAATTTTCAAAGGGCAGTAAGATACTTAAGCAATAAGCATTTCAATGGCAGCCATTTATCATTCTTGGCGATTTCGATTATAGGTATGGGATCCTGTTTTATATGGCACCTTTGCTACTGCAGAACTTTTTTGACTTCTTCTGGCTGTTTTCAGTCAGAAACTCTCTGCCAAACAAAATGTTAGAAGGGAAATGGTAAAACAGCTTTAAAATACTAAAAAGGGGGGGTTAAAGAAAAGAAAAAGAAAGAAAGAAAATGAATCCATGCTGGAAACATAACCAGCAGCTCTATTCCCATGACCTAAGAAAATAAAGAAATGAGTACTAAGAAGGCATAAGTAAGACTGCACTCCATCTCCAAGTGACATGGCCTTAGCATATAAACAGAATTTAATCTAAACATCAACTAAGCTATTAAGACAAAACATCCAGACATGAAATGAGAATAATAAGGAATTGTTCCTCTACCCCCCCTCCTCCATATCTGACAAGGCAAAGCCAAATTTGGTACCCAAAAGGGCTCACAGGAAAAGGAAGGAATTAAAACTACATTTAAAAAAAAAAAAACAAGGAGAGGTGAAGGAAAATGGTGGTATATGCTTGCTTTATATATTACTATATGGAACAGTTTGGTCCTTCAGCACTATAACTATCAAACCTCAATGTTACGTTGTACAATAAGCTAGGATAAGTTTTAGGAGAGGCATAAGAAATTACACAGGTTTTATCTTATTTTCTCACTTTTTAGATAAGCTCTCTTGATGGAGAGAAAGTGGTACAGTATTTCTTCCCCTGCATTAGGTTCACTTTGGCTGTGTTCAGACTGGAAGTTTGGCCCAATATAGGCACGGTTCACAAATGGATTAAATGGGCACAGTCACACAGCCACATCTGTCAGGCGTTTCCCCGGCATACCCATCCCATCATAGGACGACTTGGAACCGGGTTAAAAAGGCACACATAACGGATTTGGCAGTCTGAACCTACAGATCCTTTCCTGTCACTAGGGAGTTTTTAAAGAATTGCCTATATGCACATATGTGCACCTGCGCATGTGTGTGCATGCACACTTATGCATGCACATATGCGGATATGTGTGTGCATGCATTTTGAAAATTTTCCAGGCAGCATGCTCCATGACTGAGCCGCTGCACTAATGCAGATGCTTGACCACGGGATGTCTGCATGGGTAACCTGCAGAAGGGTGTGCTGTCTGGATAATATGCCCTGCAACACTTTAAACCGGTACAATTAGAGGCGGCACCATATCGCGCCAAGCCGCCAGTGTGACCACAGCCTTTGTTAGTCACTCCATTAATGTATATATGTATTACATTTCTATCCCATCCTTTTTCCATCATAGAACTGAAGATAGCATACATAGAAGTTCCGAAGAAGTCTCCTATTCAAGTGGTGATGAGATTCAGAGTCACATAGCTTCATTAAGGCTACTGCACCTTTGGACCATATCCTGGGCCTCATGCTCGTCACAGGGTCAGTTCACATGTCTGCTGTTTGCATGGTAACCATCTAAAACCTTTCACATGCCAAGCCACTGCCCATGATCAGGTGGTTAGCTGCACCACCGTACCTGCAGGGTAGGGCTGTCAACCTCCAGTTGGTGGCTGGAGATCTCCAGAGATCACTTCACCTGGAGGAAATAGCTGCTTTGGAAGGTGGACTTTATCAAATTATACCCTATTGAAGCCCCTTCCCAACCCCACCCTCCTCAACCCCCAATATCTCCAGGTATTTCCCAACCCAGAGCTGGTCACCCTACTGCAGAGTTAAGCCCTGTGTGTGTCACTACAGACACTGTTGTGGGGGACATGCAAAAGATTAATCCTCAGTTCAAGAACAGCTGCATATAACTAGCTCTCCATGATGCCAGCAGGCACTGGATTTTAATGGTGTTTTCTAATAGCTATCATGAACATGGTATTGGCCCTAACAGTTGCCTTCAAGGAGAACTGCATCCAGTCATAACAGTGCAGGATGCTTTTTTATGAGAAAGAAAAATTAAATAGTTGCTCCTGGTCCTATTTCAAGGTCTCTGAAGTCTTAAAATTGGCTTGGCATCATTTAAGATTTCAAAAGCAAGGTAACAAATTAGAGTTAGTATCTTTCAATAATATGAATCTTTTTTATTTCCATGTAATGGTTGCCAAGTGTTTATACTTTAAAGGGACGCACATAAATATTCATGTTTATTAATACAATCTGTACAATGAATACTGAAATTCATTCCTAAGTACTACTAACTTTTTAAAAGTGGAAAGTACTTCCGACTATTTTCATAAAGAAAGTAAGAATACAAACAGGGCTGTCAAGTGATTAATAACCTGCATTCCCCTGATTTGTCAGTTAGTTAATAGATTAAAACATAGTTGCATGACTCGCTTTTGGGGAATCCTGAAGGAAGGTGAAAGGAACTTTTAGCTATTAAATAGTGCTTATAATTTATTTTCAAAAGGCTATCACGTTATTAAAAGAAATGGCTTAATATTTCCCTTTTCCTGCATTTTAATGTATTTGGGCATGTACAATATTTCTGATGACATCACACAAAGGTATAAATTACTACAAGTTATCAGTGTAGCCAAAGATCTGGTTTATGGATATACAACCACTGAACACATTCAGTTTTGGTGGTCTGGGAAGCATTTTTATCAGAAAGATTGATAACATAGTTTTGTTCTGAAAGGCAAGCTATCTGGTAGCTTTAATACAAATTGGACTGAGGAAATCCTGTTTATGTCTCTCTTCATCAGATTTGGCACAACAAGAGCTAGTGTGTGTATCTATGCAGGTCTTCTTTGAAACCCTGCTAGTAAAGATTTAGGGGATAAACTGTGCCAATTAAGGGATCAAAATGTGCAAACTTATAATTAAGCTATGACCTTTCCACCCCACCATCCAAATCCAACCTACAGTCTTGGTCACAAGAACTTAAGAACAGCCATGCAGCAGCAAAAGAATATATTTTCCTTCTCAGAAACCAACCACAGGATTCTGGGAAGCCCACAAGCAGAGTACGAAGGCAAGCTTTCCTGTCCTGTTTGTTAGCCTGATTGCCTTGTTCTTTTAACAATATGGGGAATTGTGACTTATAAATTGGCAATAGGCAATTACGGGAGCAAGCACTGGTATATACAGAGGTCCTGCTTCTAACCAGTCATCAGACTCAGACTGAATTCAGAGTAGAATTAATATTGTTTTATTGAGTGTATCTAGATGGGGCAACTAGAAGTGCACATTTTTCAAATGAAGATTTACCACAGATTTATACATTTTAATTTTAATCCCATTCGTAATCATCTCTGGCATGGACTTTGCTCCCCCCCCCAGTACCACTGGACACTGATTCAAAGTTTTCATTGAGCTGTCCACATAAACTCAACATCCCTTGCATCGTTCGTCACCTCCAATTACAGTATACATGTGGTTATGATTTCCCCCCCAATAAACATAACTTTACACTAAGTTTTTCTCATTTGCCAAAAATCTGAAGAGATCCTTTTCCCCTTTATCATTAATGCACTTGACAGATCCAGGTCAATCACTTTCAAAGCCCCATTGTTTCTTGGCAACCTTCTGATAAACACCAACCATTTATATTACAGATTAATATCATGAGGGGGGAGGACAGAAAACTAACAACGATTCTCTCTGTTGCAGGATAAACACTACTAATACTGAGTATCTTCACTGAGTAGCACCAGGAATATGTCTGTTTCACACAATTAACATTATTGCTTTTCAAAGAATTGCCAAGTTTCATTCAGTCCAGGAAATGATCTGAAATAAATATTGAAATACTGAGGATTGCTTTGTGAGAAGGACCATTGCAAACAGTTATAGCCTTACTCAAGCCAGATGGATTTCATACCCACAAAAGTATTTCCATGTAGTGAACATCTAGTGTAAGATTTTATTCCAATTCAGTGGGTTGGCTGACTCAAAGTTTTGCTCTGTATCATTTGTTTGTTTTTTTAAAAAACTATATTACCATATAACATTTAGGATTGATAGAACCCTGAATGAAAATAGAAATAGCAGCCTCCCTGCCCAGAAGACTTACAGCCCAAGTTGGATAAGTATTAAAGGGATGGGGAAACAGAGGAGATGGAGAATTGACAGTGGATTCTGGGAAAGGGTAGGCACAGTCAGGTAGTACCTGGAAAAAAGGAGAGACGAGGCTGGGTAGGGCAGTGGTGGTCAGGAAAGGCATTGATTTGATATAGGATGTGACAATACTGCAGCTTTCAGTGTAATTGTGCAACTATTAAATATTTACCTACTTGAGGTACCCATTTTGAAGAAACAAAGCTCGTCACTTCTATGACAGGCAAACCACTTTTAGAAAGTCGGTCAATTAACTCTATTTTGACATCTGTAGGGACTACAGCCTGTGAACAGGGGAAAGAAAAATCTCTTCTGTATGCCATGTGGTAAGAACATTTGGGACAAAAAGAAAGATATTCATAACATTGTAAAACAAAAAAAAAATCACCAGTGATACATAAAGTTATTATAAAACTTGTAACCAGATGCTGTTTTCTTAGGCATAAGAAAACTGACACATGCAGGAAAACAGCCCAAGAACCAGCTGGGACTCTCACAGACAACTGTTGGATCTTCTCAGAAGTCTGTAAAACTGCTCTCTTTATGTACTTGCTTATATTGGGCTGAATCCTATGACTCCTTTATGCTAAGTGAAGAAGCTTTCCTTCGACAGAACACACCATCTCAGTCAGCACAAGGCAGTCATAAAATCCAGCCCAACATTAATAGACTGCTTTTCCGTTGAAAACCATTCTTAAAACACACATTTAAAAATCTTACAAATCATTTTTAAAAATTAACTGAAACTAGTAAAACTATATAAAAATGTAAAACTATATAAAACTATATAAAAATGTAAAGCACAATTAGAATCACCATTAATCCCCAAGGGACCAACACAGCAACAGTGGCTAGTATCCAACAACATAGTTCTGAAGACTTAAGGTTTTCTTAAGGGGGGCAGTAAATTCCATGAATTTTCCCCATCTTACTACAGCCCATTGAATAGACTGAAATATTGTTCCTGGGGGGGGGAGTCAGTGAACTTTTTGAAAGAGCACAAGGGGCAAAGTCAGTGCCTCCAGTGGGAGGGGGATTCAGCAGAAATTGCTTCTTCCTCTTAAGAAATTATACCTACCCTTGAGTCTTTGTGATGTTTGGTTAAATACAGGCCAGTTCCACCCCCCACCCCACCCCATTGAAACAGATAAGGAAAGAACAACTACATACTTCTTGGGGGAGAGCATTCCACAACTCTGAAGTCACCACAGAAAAGGCCTGGCTCAGCCTTTCCAGCCTTATGGAAGGAACCCAAAGTCCATCTCGCTAACTGATCTTAAGGGGTTGTGTGGCTTATACAGGAAAAGACATATCTTGAGATACCGGTTATCAAAACCTTAGAAATGACACCACAGTTCATCATGATCAGTGATGAACTACTTTTCTGATTAATATGCTTTGTACAGCACCATCTACATACACTGTAATTTAGAGACTGACAAAGCATAAAAGTGTCAGGGTCCTGCCCAAAGACCCTGAAATATAAGCATTCCAAGAGTGAAAATGATCCCAGTAAGAGGGGACAGAGGGAAAATCAAAAATAATTAACCACCAGAGAGAAATGGGAAATCAGAAAATCAAAATAAGGAAGCAATGTTATAGTTAAGAGTGGTTTTTTCATTAGGGTAACTGACATAACTGTAGTATGTGAGAATACCACCATTATATAGATGGGGCCAATTGCATAGATCTTTCCCACCTGATCATCACTCTTTCCTCTCATCAGAATTTGTGATCAAGATTCATATGTGAGTCCCATGCTCATTACGGCAATATTCACATAGCTGCTGCATGCAGGTCCAGGTCCAGGGTACATCAAGAACTATCTCTGAACCCTTTCAAAGCTTAAATCCTCCTCAGAGGCTTACCATCTGAAATGCAGTCACTGGTCACAAGTGGCCAAAATTATCAATCCCCCTCCCCAGTCAAGATTGTTTGGTTTCTTTGTTATGGGTCTTCAGACCACAGGTAAAGATCAAATGTCTGCCTGTTTAATTTAGACTTAGAGTGCAATCACACGCACAATTAGCCATGCCACAGGCACGAATGCTAGGTGGATTTAAAGGGCGTGATGAGACACAAACATCTGCCCAGCGTCTCGCACCCATCGGCAACCCATTTTGCTCTGCTGCAGAAGTGGAGTAAAAAGACACTGGGGAAAGTCCAGTAGCAAACGGTTTGCTACGGGCCACAGATGGACTTTCCCCTCTGTCATTGCTCCAGCGCACTCTCATGGCATTGGGATGGTCTGATCAGGCCATCCCAACTCCATACCATTTCCCCCCCTTCTCAGTATGCGCATCATCACATACTGCCATAGGAAGCTGTCAGTGTGGAGATGCGGTTAATCGATTCTCTGTTTAAGCGAATCAAAAACAAATGGCAAAAAAACCCCTGACTCACCCGCGATTGCATCTGATCACACAGTGGCTGGCTATGCCCGCAGCTTCAAAGAACTGTGTGATCATGCAACTGCGGGTCAATTTCCTCCAGGGTAAATAGCCTCACTCCCCTTGCGCATTATCTTGTGCGTATGACCGCAACCTTAGTTTTCTGTGATTTTGTTCTTTATTTTGGTTTGGTTTTTTTAAAACTACATTTGTTATTTTAATTCATTGTAGTGTTATATGCCTTAAGCTGCCCTGAAGGGTACTGGAAATGGCAGCATAAAGCTATTTGAAAACATAACTAACTAAAATGTGAGCTATCACCATGAAGAGGTTGTTCTCATATGGCCCTATGTGCTTGTGAAGATGGTCCAAATCTCATGTACTCCAACAACAATTTTTAAAGATTGAAACATAAATCTGTCAACATGCCTTAGAATCCCTTTTACCTTATAGCTTCTGGTGGGTAGCCACACTAGTGTGCAGCCACACTGGTGTGCAGGAGAAGAGCAAGAGCCAAGTCCACTAGCACCTTAAAGACCAACAAGAATTCTGAATCCAAGTTCCCTTCATCAGATACCTAATGAAGAGAGCTTTGACTGCTGAAAACTTATACCGTGGAAATCTTGTAGGCCTTTAAACTGCTAACTGGATTTGACTATTGCCCCTTTATCTTATGATACAGTTGACAACTATGTGGTTTGGATTCCTGCATTACAAAACCCAACCTCTTTCCAATTTCATGTGGGTAAAACTGAAAAGCCCTTCAAATCATCAGTATCATGGGATTTCTGGTTTTGGTGATTCCAGGCTCGGACGCATCTCTTCGTGCCCTGATGGAGACGTGCCGAGATCCAGCAGACAGGAGAGGTCCCGGATGGGTCTGGCCCCCCCAGTGTCCTTGTAGGGGACTGCTGGCCTGGGTGCAGAAGGGAGTCTCTTCCTAGGTATCAGCCAAGGAATTGGGGCTCGCTTCAACCCCAAGAGGTCCTGCCATCAGGGGAGCCAACATGGTGACCAAAGTATGCTGCCAGATGAGGCGGGCAAGAGATTAAGTGTGGAAACGTTCCTGCAGAACTTTTAAAGCGATAAAATTGAGTTAACCGATCCCCGGGTTAAGCATTAAGTGAACGTCCTTAATTCACTAAGCAGAGGTGGGTTTGGGGAAGAGTTTGGAAATCCCCCCCCCCATGAGAGTAAGCAGTCCATAGACTTTAAACCGAAAAGAAAAAAGCAAAACTAACCGTGAGAGACGTTCCAGGAGACTGAAAGGTGGAAAATAATCCCAAGCGCAACTCAAACAGAGAAAGTTCATTTTAACTTGGAAAACTTTCTTCTTATGTAAACAATATCTGGGAGGGGAAGAAGAATGGTGACCAAAAAGAAGCCTCTTACAGGAAATACCCAACCATCGACTCCAACCCCTCCACAGGCATAGGAAACAGCTGCAGACTTCCCTAACATGTTAGCAATGGCCCTGCGCCCTCTGCTGGAACAGATATCTAATGTCAACAGTAAACTGGATGGAGTGCAAAAGCAATTGTCATGTATGGAGAAAAGAACAGAAAACTCTGAAAAAGCTATCAAGAAAATGGAGACTAAATTGAAAGATACCCCCCCAAAAAGTGGATGAAGTAGAAAAAGAAAGATCTTCAGAAAAAGGTCAATTATTACAACTTCAACTGGATAGATCTATGTGTGTGTTACGCTTTGAAGGCATGCCTGAACAGAGAGGTGAAAACCTAAAACAACTCTTAAGTGAAGCCCTGGCACCTATTACTCAATTTCAAGCAAGAAGAACTACAGAATGATATGGATTTGGCATATCAGACTTATCCAGATTTTATTAAAAAAAATAATCTACCAGGTGAGCTATTTGTTAAATTCTCTAAGAGATCTACCAGAGACGCTGTTTTAAAAGGTACTGCCAGCAAAACCTGGAAAATCAAAGAAGAAGAAGTTGAAAGTCTTAAAGAATATCCCATTTGAGGTGAGAAAGCGAAGAAGACAATACAGAGATAAAAATTAAAAAATTAAACTTGACTCCAGAAAGCTAAAAAATTTCTGGAAGAGCAACAAAACCCCAAAAAAAGGGAAAAGAAGCAGAAAAGCATTCAAGAAGAACAAAGCAAATCTGATTCACAAGATTCGTCAAGCAGCTTGACTAAGACATCTGGGACCTATGAATCAGAAAAAGGGACATCTGAGACTTCTGACTCAGAGAAAGGAGTAGCAGCCCCGAAGCAGCTTAAAGTTAAACTGAAATATAAGAACAAAAATAAGAAACTGGATAAATGAACTGAAATAAACCATGCAATTCACCGAGTAATCATTATCAAAATTAACTTAAGCTATTTTTTATAGAATGTCATAACTCAGCCTAAAAATTTTCTTTTCTATTGTAGGAACATCATATACAGTGGCCGTGTTCAGACTGGCAGTTTGGCCCGGCAGGCAAACGTTTGAAGAGCGTTTCAGTAGCGGATTAAAGGGGCGGGTTCACATAAGCACGTTTCAGGTGTCCCCAGCTGTACTCAAGCCATCTTGTGCCACTTCCCTCCTGAGTTTAAAAGATACCATGTTAAAGTGGTAGCAAACCGTGTATACAGCATGTTGATTCTGGTTCCCTGAGTGTGAACTCCAGCACTGATAAGGCGGGAACAACCTGCAGTTGACAATAGGTGCCAGCTGGTTCCGCGGCAGGTGCAGGTGTGCATATACGCATGACCGGAATGCTCCGGCACGTCGAGTGGAAGTGTGGAGTCGATCCTTCCCTATTTGCTGATGTGCCCATGTGCATAGGCGCACGCAGCCGAGTACGGAAAACACACTAACAGCCCGCCAGGGGTGGACGACAGTGCGAATGCTCCCTTGCGCTTCCTCCACGGTATCCTCCCACTTCAATCACTGCAGTGTGAACGGGAATACCAGGAACAAGCTGTTCCAGGTCTATTCCAGTTTTTCTTTGCCACGACTCCCTAGCGCTTTAAATTGCCAGTCTGAACTCGGCCAGAATGTATCTTTTTATTACAAATGATCCTTGCCTTATTTAGCTTCTGTTTTAGTTTTAGTGTTGTTCCCATCCCCATGCCCTATAGGATGTAGTGTGAAAAGTAATAACAAATTTTTTTTTTAATCGTCAGTCTCATGGAAGGCTTTCAAACTGGTTTCTTTGTTTTTGTTTTTTGCTACATCTGCCTCCTTTAGAAGCCTGGCCATCCTTGAACTATTAAAGGCCTTTTAGCCCTAAGAGATGTACACAAAAGGCTTAGTTTTAAAAAGGCTATTATTTGATTGATGAGATTTTAACATTGTAACAATTAGGTGTATTTTTCCAGGATCCACAATTGTTGGGGTTACAGAAGTGTGTGAGTATGGGACTTTATATTTTCCCTTTTGATTGCAGTCTCCACAGACACTGTGGCATTCTCTTTTTAAGCCATGAGTTCTGTTTCCTGACATCTGTAAAATTTGACAGATGACCACTGAAGCAAAATACCTGGACTAAAGACGGGACAAATCCAAAATGGGATGGGACTGGAGGAATCTGTTCACCCCTACTTCCCATCATCATCCAGTATGATATATTTGTATTTAAAAGAGAAAAATGTATGGATATAAAATTATAATCTTATCAGGAGTGACAAACACTGTTTTCCAGACACAGATACATAAATGGTCTACCTCAGATAACTACAACCATGAATATTAAATTACCTTTTCATTCTGCAATCCATCTCTTGGACCAACTTCTACAACCTTAACAAATTCAGGAAATCCACTTATGAGCAATTCCTGAAATGTGTGTGAGAGAAAAATTAGAAACATATTAAAGATTAGAATTAAAACTGTGTTAAAACTTCTTCCAGGGTGGGTAAACCCAGAATTGCTTTCAGAAACAGAAACAATTTGTTTTATTACACAATCCTCCCACCTTTCCACTAAGGAGCACAGCTCTTCACCCACCCCATTTTATCCTCACAAAAACCCTGTGTAGTGTATCAGGTTGAGAGAGAGCATCATACCCAAGGCTAACTAGTGAACTTCATGACTGAGGGCCTAACCACACATTATGTTTTCCTTGTATCCTTCATGGGTCCTGGCAATCAGACATTTGCTTCAGTTTACATGCTCAGAATCCAATTCCCAGTTGCATGGAGCTCAATGGTATGCAAGCAGAGAGGGCTCTTCCCTTCACACTGTGATCCCTGGTGGATGCTATTTGTTCTTTTGGCAAAACATATGTTCACCGATGGGCAGCATATGTTTTCCAAAGGGGCAAAACAATACCCACCAGGGTCTTCCTGATCAAAGTCAAACATTCTAGGTTGTTCATCACACTGGCACCAATCTAGTATTATGTAAGTAGTAACAAACAAAAATATCTCAGAATATGTTTAGTGCACCTTTTCTTCCCCGCAGAGTAAATACATTTGTCTCCACAGAGTTAGGGTTAAAGAACAGGAATTCCAGAGCATATGGCAAATGTTGAAGGCAGGTATGAGCTCCAGCTCCCCTCTCTATAGAAATTATGCTTCATTTAGAATTCTAGAGCCAGATCAAAGCTTCCCATAAAATAAAATTTACACAGCCAAGGGACAGATTTAGTTGTAGATGCTTTTAAAAATTCTCTCTAGAATCATGTGTGGAATACCTTTGATCTGGAGCCAGCAAGGGAAGGTGACCAAATCTGATCCCTTTAGGGGTAGTACCTGGTTCTGTGTTACCAATTCATATAGAAATGAGCAGTGTGGAGGACTGTGATAATTGGTATTTTGGCAGACTACTTTGGGAGCTGGAGTTTGGGACCTTGGCCCATTTACCCTGCAATCCATTCTTAAAGTGGCTCACCAGCTAAATTAATTGTTCACCAGGACCTTAGACTACCAAAAACCTGGCTCCTATATAATTAGGAGTTAGGTTTATTTGCAAGTGATGCTATGACAATTCCCTCAGGGTCCTTCATCTTTGTTTTGGCTGGGCAGCCCCTTTTATTTTTTTCTTCTTTGTTTTTCTGTCTGTCCCACCCAGTTGTTTAACTGTATATGGATATATGCTGACCCAGTCTAGGGATCTGAGGGACCAACTAAAATCCTTGCTTTGCCTTTGTTCGAAAATGGCACACAAGATGCTGTCAGTAATTCAAAACAAACTGTTTTATTGTACTTATGAGGGGAAAAGGACAAGTAGGTATCAGGTTTAGGACTTAGAAGTTGAAAGGGCAACAAGCATGAGGTAACTTTGTATAAATACAGACAATGGATAATCTGTCACAAACACATGGCTGTTTAGTTATACAGACAGGTCTTAAAACTTGAGAGAGATTTCTTGGCAGACTCTGCTCAAATAAACAAGCATAAGCTTCTTTGTCTCAGAGACATTTAAGTTGGTGAAGGCAGGAACATTCACACAAGTTCCAGTATCCCTTCTTAACCATTTGACAGGGATCACCCCCCCCCCTTTTACTAGAAGCTATTTCACTCAGGTTTGAATGGGGATCCTTCTTGATCCTCTCACTCCCTTAACCTTTCTTCCCAGTTAACTGTCATTTCTTAATTGCCACTCTTAACTGCCACTCTCAACTGTAGAATTCCTTTTGAATCCCCTGCCACTCAAGGTTCTCAGACTAGGTTAAATCATTAATCTTTACTGTGCAACACAAATGCCAAAGGAAAAAGCAGACTAATAGTAACTGAAGATTTTATAATTTGATTAACTAGGTTGATAGTATAATTAGTCATGAGGCCGATGATCTAAAACAACTCAGTATTCAAAGTTAAGAAGCTAAACACTGATTGTCCTACTCTAGGTAGATAGCAGAGTCAAATTCAAGGTTCTTGCTTCAACACTTGAAATGCTCCAAAGGAAGCAGTTCAAGCAGCTTGATAGTCCCCTCCCCCTACAATAATGACCTTCTTTTCACCAAGTTCTCATGGATCAATGAAACTGGCAATGAATCAGGGAAAACTTGTGCATTGAAAAGCTGGGACTTGCAGAGATGTCAAGGCAAGAGTCAGGAACTCATTTCTCTAGGAAAACACACTGACTGGGAACCTCAGAATGTTCACCACTAAATGCAAAACTATCTTTCATTTAAGGTGCATCTATTTTAACATCACATTAAGGAGAGGAAGAAATTCTGAAGCCAAGTAAGCAACACAGCAAAAGTATGTTTGTTTTTGGTAGCTTTCTCTCACATTTACTGCCATGAGTATCACCTGCCACAAACAGCCTATACATATTAAATTAAGTTCCTTGTAGTAACATCCTTCACTGATTGCTTAAGTACAGTAAAAATATTTTAGTACATTTATTGTGCATTTATGTGAGCACTGTAAAAAGAAATGGGAAACAGCTGTATAACATCTCTGATTATGTGCAACATCTGGCACTCTAAACCCTTCTTGGACCAAGCTGGCCCACACTTGCTGAGAACATAAACCTATTTAAAATATAAAGGCAAAACTTTCACATCTGCTGCATAACCAACCTACCCTTTGTTTAAAAAAACACCAATTTTACTATAAATTAAAAATCTCTTCACAAAGCATACATATTTGAGGTTTTCCATTAGATAATTGCTCTTACAAGGCAAATGCCACATTCATGATATGACTATTTCTGTGACAGAAACAAGAGGATCTAAAATGTGCTAAACAAATCACACCTTAAATAGAATACATTCAAAATGCGCATAAAACATTTATTGTCATAATTGTATCCTGTGTAAGCCAAACATGATCACAAACTATAGGGCTGCATATGGCTACTGTCCTGCATGTTTCAGAAGATGACAAGTGACAAGTGATTATATTATGGGTGATCTTTTGTATACCACCTTAATATGATCTTCTGTCAACTACACACATAGCTAGAAAATGGTTTGTTTATAGTTAGCCATAGTTTTCTTCTTACAGTTATCTGACAAAGACTGCCTCTTCTTTAGATCAAGATCACATCTGTTCTCAAATATATGGATAAAATTGTAATTATAATTTAATTATATTACGGTCCATGACCAGATCCAGTTAAAAAACAAACATTATTCAGATATTGTATGGATAAGAATAATGGCTTTACAGAAAGGACAGGATTTGTAGTTTTCAATTCCTTTGGGAGAGGGTCTTCTCCCAGCTTTTCCTTGACATTGTCCTGTTAATCCTTTCTTTATAAATTCTCCCATACACACCATTTTAAACATGGTGCATATGTATATCTGGTAAGTTTTAAAATGGCACCAGTGAAATTACACAGGGCCAAGTGAAGTACGGGAAAGAAAGGAGGCAGCTATACAGATCCCAGGTACTACAGTCCACAACTGAAACTAGCTCTCTGGTAGCACAATCCTTAGGAGTTACACCCTTCTAAGTCCATTGATGTCAAGAAGGTTGCTTAATATTGCACCATGGATTTGACTGAAGTACCATGTATAGAAGTAATAAAAACAATGCTACTTTTGCACAGAAGGGATGGTATATTTAGCTGGCCTGGTCTCCTTTCCCAGATAGAGATGGTACTGAATTTTACAAGTATATATATATGTGTGTATGTGTGTGTGTGTGTGTGTATACACACACACACACATACACACACACATTGATGTATATGTATATATATATATATATATAGACTGGCTCCTAGTATTCAGCTGCACAAATCAACTGCCAAATCTCTAAGTTCTGTCTCTCCATATTGGTGTGTTCCATGAGCTTATGGGCACTTATACAATTCTTTAAAGTTTTGATGAAACTCTCATTGATGGATATGAAGTACCATCTCCCCAGCCAAGTAGCCTTTTGTTAAGCATTTTCTGCATCTGAATCAATCAGTTCCTTGGCTGCAACATTTCTTGTGATTGTTTTTCCTCAACCATATCTAAGCACTCTTTAATCTTCCTAGGAGCATACATCAGAGAAGTGGCAGAAGTAAATTTCCCAGCAGTTACTGGATGAGTGCGAAGCAGGTACAACCAAACTACAGTTTCCAGTGGTAATCCTGTTCTGTGTATCCAGTGATACACAGTGATAATCCAGTGGATACACTATCCAGTGATAATGTGCATGCATGTGGTATCATAACCACATAGACACCAAAACTGCAAATAAGAGAAATGCTCTGGAAAAATCAAATGAGTTTTCCCCCCTCAAATGCTAATGAAAATGCTCACAAAATATTCACCAGTTACTAATACCAGTTTCTAACTAATTCAGTGTCTTTGTCTCTGGTCCTTCAACACGATTGGCAGATTTGTATGTATATAAAACATTACAGAGACATCATAAAGCACTGGCATTCTCTCATACACTGGCAGCACAGTCCTTAAAACTTCTTACCGTTAAGGGTAGGCCTTACATTGTCATATATTAGTATATGCAGGGACAAACTGTTTTTCCTTGCTTTTTTTAGTTTTAACATTTATTGGCAGAATGTATTAATCTCTTTTCTTCAAACATTTCAGCAGAGTTCAATATTAATTTTTTTTAATCTGTGGAAGAGGAGGCCACTAAACAACCTGAACATTGTAAAAGCCAGTACGCTGAGCCAGAATACAAGAATTAAACTTTAAATACACATAAAAGCCAGGATAAATGTTTTAAAAGTCTTAATGTGATGGTTAAAAGGGCCTCTTTGGAAAGGTTGTAACATAGTTACATTAACTTTTCTTCCGTACTTTGATGCAACAAAATACATGCCTGGTCTTTATGGATAATGAGTGGTTATTGAATTAGATACTGGCCTAAGTGCTGAGTACTATGGGTGAATTGTACAGAATAGCAACAAGGAAATAATTTACA